CAGAATTCCCCAGCCAGCATGGCTGGCTGGGGAATTCTGGGAGTTGAAGTTCACATATCTTAAAGTTGCTAAGGTTGAGAAACACTGCCTTATATGCTGATTTCCCAGACTACCAAAGCACAGCTAACTAGGTTTATTTTGCTCTTGATCAGGGCTTCCCAACCTGGTTACCCTCCAGATCAGTGAACTTCAAAACTCCCAGAATTCCCCAGCCGGACAAAATTCTGGGCACTGAAGCCTATACATGGGAAGGGCAATCAGGTTGGGGGAAGCTGCTCTTGAATCATCTTCACTAGCAGTATTTTAGGTCTTTGGGCAGGGGCCTCCCATTTTTGCTGACATTTCTCTTCTGATGTACCCAGATACGTTGGAATGCAAGTACAGGTTTTGGATTTCCTTGGGCCAATTCTACTATTTGGCAGCAGGACACTTTGCCTCCAGGGCATCCCCTCTGCTATTTCTTCTGAGAACTCACTCATGAGTGTTCATCTCTTATGGAGGATGGAGTGTTTTGTCTGGCACATCCCATCCACTCTTCTTTAAGCTACTCTGCTGCCCTTAGGTAATCTGAATTACCCTTTCTCATCAGCCCTGCCAGTCCACTAAGTTTCTCTACATAGACTGGAAGAAGATATTTTTTATTTTATTTTATTTTATTATTTATTTATTAAATTTGTATGCCACCCATCTCCCCCAACGGGGAGCCATCTTACTTTTCACCTCAAATACCAACGTAACTCCATGTGGCCCCAGATTTCTTTTTCCTCCCCATCAAACAAACAAGAAGAGAAGGAGGAATGATGTTGGGTAGGTGTTAGGACTGGATGGTTTCTAAATATCCCTGTTAGCAACTGGTGTGGACATATTACAGGATTCACAACCACACAACAACCAATACTGGGCTGATCTAACATCTTGGCCCAATGTCTGGGGGAAAACCCAGATCCACAGGGCCTTCCGGAGAGCCAGAAGGATTGCCCCCACCCGGAGATCTGGACCCTTTTGACTTTCCAGAAGGCCATGGAGATTTACTTTTTCCACCAGGTGTTGGGCCAGGAAATTAGACAAGCCCAATAATAGGTGTGGTTTGTGTTAGGAGTTTGTTATGTGGTACCTCAGTTACTGTGTTATTATTACAATTGTGTTCTCTGTTTTGTTTATAGAAGTTTTATTGCACTGTTTTCTTGTGAACTGTGAACTGTAGTTAGACGCCCAGATTTATGCACGTAAAATGGGCAGCCATATAAATTTTCCAGCTATACTACGTAAGTTTTTCCAGTCCAAGAAACAGTACAAACTTATATTGATCTCACTTCATGTACATTTAAATTTAATTAATTAAAATTATATGCAAACATGTGTTTCCCCTTCATTACAAATGCAACGTTAGAAGTCTCTGGGGACTCCACACAAAGCTGTTCAAGGCCACATGAAGGTCCTCAGGTCGGGTTCCTCTTGAGTGTACGGCATATTGTATTGGTGGTCCATGTGCAGGCATCAGACATGGCACTACAGATTAACATGCTGTATGGAGCATCCTGGAACAAAGCCTTTTGGAGAGCTGTTTCACCACTCTGCTAATTTTAAAGCCCTTGTGTTCATAAAAACAAAGTTGAAAAGGCACATATATGTATGAAGTCTCAGATTTGGTTAAGGAACTGTAATGGTATGTGGGAAGGAACTTGGGAGACAGGACAACAAGATGCAGCCAAGCAAACAGACAGATAAAAGGCAGCTTAGCCTACAGCAGGAATGTGGACGGGGCAAGAGGCTCAGAAGAGACCCTCCCTAGTTTTTGGGGCTGTAAAGGGGACGGGAGCAGCTGGGGGAGAGAAGTACTTCCAGATCTGCAAGATTCTATTAACGAAGCCTTACAATAAAGTAGAATTTGCTCATCTGGTCATGTTTCCTGTCTGATCTACCTAGTAAGGCTGACAGGAATTATTCATTCCTTCAGCTAAGGGGCAATTTGCATTCACTCTGTGTTGCCCATTCAGTCCCTAGGGGCATTGTTTGTTTCAGTACAAGCTTGGCTGCTTGGCAAGGCAGACCCACTTCTCCCCCATGAGCAAATGGAGTTTTATCATGCATTTATTTACGGTCAAAGGCCAGTCATAAAAATATATCAAATACCACAGATTAAAAGCCTGAAATAGTTAATAATGTGAAGAAGGCACCAAAAACAACTTCTATCAACTAGAGCTACTGATAAGAATTTTGCAACCTTCTTGGAAGTACAGGTAGTCCCTGGGTTAAGAACGCCCAGTTTAAGGATGACCCATAGTTAAGAAAAGAGCCTATTATAGCAAAATTCAAGTTAAATATGCACTGATACGAATTAAATACACAACGGTTCAAGTTAATTACACAATAGTACTTATACAGTATTATACAATAATACAATATTATACAATAATACTGTTCTGGCTTACATACAAATTCAACTTAAGGACAAACTTTGGGAACGGAACTCATTCTTAAACTATATCTGAAAATTGGTCACCTAAAAGGAGAGTGGTCACCTCTTGATTATAAGAACAGTTACATGTTCTGACAACTGGTATTTGCTTTTTAAAACAGTATTTTATTAAAGTTTTACATAGATAAAAACTAATACAAACTAAAAAGGACATGAAAAATAATGGAAAAAGGAAAAGAGAAAAGAATACAAAGAAGAAAGAAGAAAGAGAAAAAAGAAAGAAAAGAAAGATATATAAAGGAATGGCTCCCTCCTCATTCCAAACACATATAAAGTTTCAGTAACTTAACACCTTCTTTAATGCTACAAAAACAAAAAAAAACCTCTTCTTCCCATTTCTCATCTCTTAGCAATAACCAAATTATTCAAAAATCATCATTCTACCCTAATCAGCAAAAGCATTAAGAGTACCAGTAATAGTAACATATATTTTTTAACCTTAATTAAGATCCATTTACATTCCAAATTATAATAGAACATAAAAAATTTATCCCCATATAAATAAATATTTAAATCCTCATCATCAATCCTCAGATCTGGTCCAAAAAAAAAATCCAGTAATAGCAACCCAAAATCGCAACTTATATATTTAACCTTGATCAAATAAGTCCACTTTGTATTCCTTTTGTTTCCTTTTAAAAAACTTGATCTTCAATCCCTTCACATAAAGTCCAACATGGTGATCTCTTATCTTTTTCTCTTTGTCTGTTCTCAGGAACAGCTTCAACAGTTTAGTGCAACCCT